CGGGCTCTCTCCCGTTGACTCCTGTACTCCACAGCCTGGTGAGACGACGGCGCCGTCAGCGACCCCTCCCACAGCCTTTGTTCAGTTTCCCGGGCCCCGGAGTCACCTGACCTCCAACCCCCTCCTGGGTTCTCATGTTACAAGCTCAGGTATGTTCCCTTGGGCCGGCTCCCATCCCCCGATGCAGACCATCCTAGTCACACTCCCCTGTCAGCATTCACACACCACAGTAAGAACAGTCCCAGTTCGTCACATCGGGGGGCAACAGACTCGGCCTGGGGCAAGAGAGGGTTGTGGGGACATCACTTTGTAGCCCAAATCTGGCTGCAAAGACACCTCCTGCAGTGCCAATGCCCCCACCCAGGGGCCAGTTCTAGGTCCAACTCACGCTGCTGAGAACTCGCTTCCCCCAGCACCGCCCTGCTCGCTGGGGCGTCACCAGCCCACCCCAAGGCAGCTACTCAGGTCTCTGGGCCCTCCCCAGCCTCTCACTCACCACAGACTTGGACAGTAAACGTCCTGGTGTCATCAGCCGCATCACAGACATACTTCCCAGAATGCTCCACTCCAGCCGCAGGGATGACCAGCCGCCGATGGGCACCCTCCTCCTCCAGGATCAGGCTGCCGCCAGCCTCCAGCCTGGTGCCATCCTTAACCCACTGCACCGGCACGTTCCCGCGTGATAGCTCACAGGCCAGAGTCACCGTCTCCCCCATGACAGCCTTCAGGGTGGGGGGAGCTCGCCGCGGCTGCAGGATCTTCACCGGGGGCTCTGAAAGGAGAGGACAGCGCTGGTCCAGGCAGCCAGGGGACAATGCTGCCCCCACCCTGCCCTGTTGGTTTGAATCAATCTCCGGCATAGCCAATTTCTCCTTTCAGGCCACGAAAGAGCAATGGCGGGTGTAAGCGCCGGAGGGAGCAGATCACGGGATGGCTCCTGGGGACTGAGGAGACACAGCGCGTATGGCTGTGCCTCGGGGCACATGTATGACACGGAGTGGTCATGCCAGCAGATACTCACCACCGGCAAACGTACGGCCCACTCTCCCCAGCTACTCCGTGACCATAAGCAGAGCGGGAACCCAGGAGACACCAAGTGCAGCCGAGAGAGGGAGACGGACCCGGAGCGGGGGAAGAGCTTTGCTCACTTTATCGACGACGGTCACAGAGCAGATGTCACAGAGACAAGGAGGCTGTGCCCCACGTTACCTGGCCCCCCACGCTCACCTGACACCCTGACGTCAAAGGAGACGGACTCGTCCCTTGTCTCACAGATGTACTCGCCAGCATCCTCGGCCCGGGCCTGCGGGACAATCAGCCAGCGCTGGGCCCCCTCTGCCCGCAGCAGCAGGTTCTCTGTCTCATCCACCTCCAGCCCGTCCTTGAACCAGCACACCTGGGCCTCTGCTCTAGACAGCTCACACCTCAGCTCCAGGCGCTGCAGCACCAGAGCCTGCAGCTCCAGGGAACGCTCCTGGGGGCGCAGGATCCTCACTGGGGGCTCTGTTGGGCACATCGAACGGAAGGGACACGATGGGCTCAGGGAGACCCAATCTCTACCCGCTGCAGGGCAGGGGGTCTGCTCTACCCAACCCCAGCCTGCGAGACCCCCGGCCACTGCCCGTGTCCATCAGGAGGCCTGGGCTCCCCAGTGTTCTGGGGGATCTGGGTGGGGGCTGGGGCTGCAGCCTGATGGTCGTTAGGAAAAGTCTCTGCCAGTCTTGTGCTACATGTGGGGAAACAGCCGCCCATGGAGCTCAGGTATCACAGCCTCTGTCAGACCCAGACCCCAGTTCTTCCAGGGGCATCGCGGGCTGGGCACAGACAGGGGGCCAGGCTCTCCCCTCGGGGCAGGGGCTGGGGGCTGACAGGGGGGCCGGGCTCTGCCCTCAGGGCCAGGGTCCGGGTGCTGACAGGGGCGCAGGGCTCTCCCCTCTGGCCAGGGGCTGGGCGCTGACAGGGGGGCCAGGCTTTCCCCTGAGGGCCAGGTGCTGGTGAGAGCCCGGCCCACCTGTCATCTCCCCCCCAGGGACCAGGGGTGTCACTGACCTGCCAGCTGGGGTAACGGGGGAGCGCTGCTGACCCACCCGCTGGGGGACCAGGGGTGTCACTGACCTCCAGCTGGGGTAACGGGGGAGCGCTGCTGACCCACCCACTGGGGGACCAGGGCTGTCACCGACCTGCCAGCTGGGGTAACGGGGGGAAGCGCTGATGACCCACCCGCCGGGAGGCCAGGGGACATCACCGACCTGTCACCGTGATGTTGTAGAAGACAGAGTCGCCGCCCGCGTCGCACACAAACTCCCCCGTGTCCTGCGGCCGGGCTGAGGGGATGATGAGCCTGTGATGGGGCCCCTCGCACTCCAGGAGCAGGTGCTCGTCCTCCTCCACCTCCACCCCGTCCTTGTACCACTGCACCGGGCCGTCAGCACGGGACAGCTCGCACGCCAGCACCACGCGCTCCGAGGCCAGGTAGGTGTGGGCAGCGTCCTCGTTAGAGCGGACGATCCTCACGGGCGGCTCTGGGCGGGGAGACAGGACGGGCTCAGCAGAGAGGCTGCCGGCTGGGTCACTCCCAGCAGCCGCCCCGCCTATTCTCCAAGGCAGGATGCCCAGGAAGAGGGTGAGGAAGTGACCCCGGGGGCAGCTGTCTGGGGGAGATGCGGAGCCTAGACTCAGGTGGGGATGTGGCTCATTCTGCGTTAGATGGAGCCGCAGAGTCGCTTGCATTCTCCGTGTTGGGGGGAGCTGCTGTTTCTCTCCCTAGGGCCCAGCTCCCTGCAGTCACCCCCGGGGCAGGGAGAGCCAGGGCTCAGGACTCTGAGGATCTTCATTTACCTTCAAAGCCGAGCTGTGTCCGCAGGGGCTGGCTGGGCAGCAGGCTGGTCCCCCGCTGGCCGCACAGGGCCCAGGAGTCAGAGCCCAGGCCCTGCTGGGTCTGACAAGTGCCAGCTCTGGTAATGCACCGTCGAGCCCAGACGCTTCACTGGGGTCGAAGGCAAAGGCAGCGCTGGATACAGGATCAGCCCCACAGAGTGACTGGCCAGGCAGCACCTCAGGGCAGAGACCCCGGCTTCCTACCTGAATGTCAGGCCCAGGCCCCCCAGCGCTGCCTGTGGGCGTTAACCCTGCTCCCAGGGAGGGGACCATAGCCCAGCCCACAGCTCACCGGTCACGGTCACCGTGAAGCTCAGCGCATCCTCGCCCGCGTCACACGTGTACGTCCCGGAGTCTGAGGGGCGGGCAGAGCGGATAAACAGCCTCCTGGCGCAGCCCTCTGCCTGCAGGGCGACGACGTCGTCCGAGGGCACAGCCTCCCCGTCCTTGAGCCAGCGCACAGGGGCGTCGGGCGTGGAGACCTCGCACTCCAGGAGCAGGGGCAGCCCTGCCAGGAGCTCCGGGCGGCGCTGGGCCTCGGGCACCGGGGCGATGCGCACCTGCGGGGCTGAGAGACCAGGTTCTTTATCACCGCGAGTGCGGCAGCACCCTCAGAGGCAGAGCAGGCCGCGGTCCCAGCCCCACGGAGCTCACAGCCTCAGGCCGTAGGAGCACTGCGGGTGGGGTGACATTGCTGCGGGCCGCACTCCCAGGCTGGAGGGGACAAGCAGCCGAGGGCGGAGCAGTCACATGGTGAACCGAGGAGAGGAGGTGGTGGTTTGACAGACTGGCTGGAGTGGGGGGCAGAAAGCAGGGAACTGGGGAAGGAGCATGTGGGCCGGCCAGGAGGGAGGGGGCAGAGCCGGGCAGGGAGGCCTGGAGGGAGGGGGCTGAAGAGTGAGGAGTAGGGGGACCAGACAGCAAATGTGAAAAACCAGGACAGGGGTAATAGGAGCCTATATAAGAAAAAAAATCCAAAATTGGGACTGTCCCTATTCACCCTAGTGAGGAGACAGGTGAGGATCCGCCCAGCGTCTGTGTCTAGCAGGGGTTGCAGGGTGTCTGGGAGCTGCAGAGCAGGAGGGGGCAGTGACCTGGGGGAAGCCTGGAGGGAAGCATTCGCCATGTGACCAGAGGATCTTGCCAATTTCTACCAAGAGAAAGCTGGGGAAATGTGACCTGCCCTTCCCCCTCCCCTCAGCTCGCCTGCCCCTCCCACAACTCTCCCTCCTCCTCCCCAGTCATACAGAGTCTCTGCTCTCCTCCTCTGACCCCTCCACTTGTGCCCAGGACCCCATCCAATCCCATCTCCTGGTCTCCCTGAACCGCCCTCCTCCCTCCGCTTCTCACTCTCCTCTGGCTCTTCCCCTCACAACACAAAGTGCCATCGCTCCCATCTTAAACACCCCCCTGCCCCACTTGCCTCTCCGACTATCGCCCCATCTCCCTTCCTCCCCAAGCTCCCTGCACACACTGGAGTTCCTCTCCTCCTGCTCCGTCCTAGACCCTGCAGCCCAGCTCCCACGCCCGGCACGCCACAGAAACTGCTGTCGCCCAAGTCTCTAGTGACCCCTTCTAACCAAGGCTCAGGACCAGCCCTCCACCCTCATCCTCCCAGACCTGTCAGCCACCTTCACACAGCCGGCCATGCTCCTCCTCTTGGCTTCCCTGATTCTGGCCTCTCTGGGTCTCCTCCTCCCCCTCCAACTGCTCCTTTGGAGGAGCCTCCAGACCCAGGCAACAGCCAGGGGTTGCACAGTTCTGAGTCTGTGCCCAGATGGGCTAAGACCTTGCTGGCAGCCACGGCTACTGCGGGCTGGATGGATGGAAAGTATTCCCAGAGTTATGCACCGCAGACTATGTGTTCCAAAGCTGCTGGAGGCCAGACAGTCCCTGGGGCGGGGAGGTTCTCAGAGCTCGGAGTGAGAACAATTGACACCTTTCCCCCAAGCCCAGCCAAGAGTTTACAGGCCAGACAAGGTGTGGTCTTGGGCCGTCACACAGCACTAAAGAGGCCAAGAAAAAGACCTGGAACAGGGGGGCCATGCGGAGAAAGAAGGCACAAGACTGTATGCTCTGCCAGTGGGAGTGTCTCATGAAAAATGTGGACCCCAACTCTCTGGACTGGCCCAGCGCTGGCCTGATGAGCCAGTGGGTGAGAAACACCTTCTCAGACAGGAAAGGAGCTTAAGAACATAAAAATGGCCACACTGGGTCAGACCAAAGGTCCATCTAGCCCAGTATCCTGTCTGCCAACAAAAAGAAGAACAGGAGGACTTGTGGCACCTTAGAGACCTTAGAGACTAACAAATTTATTAGAGCATAAGCTTTCGTGGACTACAGCCCACTTCTTCGGATGCATATAGAATGGAACATATATTGAGGAGATATATATACACACATACAGAGAGCATAAACAGGTGGGAGTTGTCTTACCACCTCTGTCACACTTGTTATCTAACTGTCTGTCTGTACTGGGCTAGCTTGATTATCACTTCAAAAGTTTTTTTTTTTCTTTTATTTAATTGGCCTCTCAGAGGTGGTAAG